AAAAGCACTGATTTGCTGGGAGAGCCCAAGGGGCAGGCGGGAGGTGAAGGTGGGGGTGCCCCATGGGCTGAGCGCTGTGACACGACGTCCTCCTGCACCCTGCCCGGCAGTTCACAGGATGCTGCAGGTCACACACGGACCCACAGGAAAGGCGAGAGCCTCGGGATGTGTTGGGCTATGGACTCGTGGAGTTCCCTCTGCTGCTTCCGCTGGGAAGAAGGCCATACCCGCCCTGGAAGAGTCTAATTTTAGCCACTTCTCTGCTTCCTGCTGCTGCTATTTTTGGTTCTTAGCATTTTTTTCTCTGTTTTGTTTCCCACTGTGCACCCAACAGGAAGAGCCCCTCACAAAGTCCTCCCGAGTAAGAAGAAGGAAAAGAGGACATTTGCTTCCTGCAGGCAGAACTGAGAGCAGGCAGCAGCCAACACTTCCCCAAAGCCTGTCACCACCTCTGCTCTTTCCACGAGAAACAGAAAGGAAATTGGATCCTGCAAGAAAACCATTTTCCAAAATGCAGAGACCTCAGCATAGTCTGTTCACTCCATGCACTGACTTCTCCAGACAGACAGGACTCTGGTCTTGCAGTCCATAAGCTCAGAAGGGTGATGCTCAGGCAGTATCTTGGGAATAAATACCTGTGTTTCATGGAAGGAGCACTGTGTGCATCATAGCCCATGGTCTGCAGGTGCTGTGAGGGCCACCAGAAACATCCACGTGTTCTTGAGGAAATGTGCTGGAAGGAGGACCGTGAGGCTGAACAGGGGTAGCTTGGTCATCGTAGAACCATGGTCCTCTCTTCTGTGAGCAACCTGGTAGAAACAGGATGGTCCTCATACCCAAAAATCCACATGCTGCCATTAATATTTCTCTCAGTTGTTTTGGTGGGCGCAGAGACTGTTTCTTTGCCACCAAGTATCCAAAAAAAACAAAACCTTGCTCCAAATTATGGTAGCTTCTTAGATGGAGGCTGGCTTGAGTGCTAGTTCTTGCTGTTAAGGCTTTGTTACTGCATCCTTGCCGAAATAACCCTCTGGATGGTATTGATGGCATTAGCACTGTAGTTAGCGCAGCAGGCTGCAGTTGGTGGAGCGATGACAGAGCCAACTTTAGGAGCAGTGAGAGCTGCATTCTTTTAAACTGATTTCATCTCAAAAAGTGCATTGGGAATTTGTGCTCCTGGAGCCCTGTGTGGTTGGATGTTCCTCCCGTCGGGCAGAGCAAGGACAGCGATCCGTAGCAGTGCTTGGTGGTGGCCATCCCATGCTGCAGGCTCACCAGTGAGATGTCCCATAGGGGCAGTGGGAGCTGTGGCAGGGGGGATGGTGTGTGTTGGTGCCTGCTCTCAAGGAGACATCCCCAACCGTGTTTCGGCCACCAGCTCATGGCCCCCTCCAAGTCCCACCTTGTCCAAGCTCCTCTTTGAGGAGGGCATTGCTGTGCCATTTGGTTTGTTCTCTCCTACGCCAGTGTGGGGTCTTCTGGTCCCTTTGAGGCTGCTGCCCACTGGGTTTGTAACCAGGGACAAGATGGGCTGATGGCGAGAGGCGTCTAAGCTGCCCTAGGATCATCCTGCCCTGCAGACGGCTCAGCAGACAGGAACCTTGCTGAAGCCAGGAGCTGGAGGACCAAGGTTTGCTTCCCAAGGTAACACTCCTTGCCTCCAGAAAACCCATGCGTGGAGCAGGTAATGTGCATTTGATGAAGAGCTTCTTGAGATCACCAGGGTGGAGGAGTCTACATGAACAGTGGAAGGCACTGGTAAGATGGAAGGCACTCCTAGCAGGTCCTCTGCCTTTCAAGTGGTAAACCCATGCATTCATATTCCATTTGCCATGTCAACATGTACCATCTTGGAGGCTCTCCACAGTAGCTTAGCTGTCTAGAGCCAGAGCACATCATTGCATACAGGTATTACAACGAACAGGCTTTGGCTTCCAAATTACCAGCTCCTCTTGCAGTACTCACAGTGAAGGAAAAGTCCTAGTTCCTGCTGCCCAGAGTGCACTCTCCATGTCTTCACGTGTATCTACCATGTGCTCTCCATTAGAGGGCAGAAGCATGCTTACACAGAGATAAAATAATCCCAAATTACCTGCCCTGTGTGTGGCATAGCTCAGGGGAGGTGGGACATCACCACGAATGGCCAGACAGCTACACCTGCTAGAAAGGAAAAGCAGCAAGAACTGGGGCTTGAAGGGTTAATTTCTGTGACTTGGGCTGACTTGATGGCCTTTGTAGCACCTCCTTCTGCTTAAAGTTGGAAATAGATTTAATACATGGTAAGCACCAACCTGTCACAGATTTGTTAAAGACTAAATAAAACGGTAATTACTCATTTTTCAAAGGACTGACAATTCTAATGATAGAAAAATGCCAAAAAGATTGTTTTTAAATAGTGACAATCATTAGGAGAGCATTTTGAGGCTGTTAATCGTCTTCCTTGTGAGCGTTCCTGTTTGACAGCCCTCCTGTGCCAGCTGTGCTGCGCTGCTGTATCTCATTTCTATATGCATGTAATCCTCTGTTGTAATAAAGGCATTGCCCATAATTACAAGGGGAAAGCATTAGTTTCTGTTGGATGCAGTGGCACAGCAGAAGCCAAGAGCTTGGCCTTAAGCAGATACAGACGTCGGGGTGGTTCAGACCAACAATTTAACCTTCTTTGGTGTCCTCTGGGTGCCCTTGCTGTGGTGATATTTATGACATGGACACGATCTCTGTAGAATTTGGACCACATCCACAGACCTAGCCTTTCAGGTTTGAGTTGTCACCAGCAGGGAATGCCAGGGATTGCTGGCTGCCAGGGCTATGAAGGACACACAGGAACCACTTGGGAAGTGCTGGCGCTGGTGGAAGATCCGGATACCCAGAGGTGAGCCCGGTGCAGGCTGTTGTCAGGGCATTGGTTGCACAGATGCATGAGCTGGAGGGGAGCTGCTGTGCCAAGAGTGACATTTTAGTTCTCAGGTGCTAAACTGTAACTCGGAGAACTGGGAAAAACCATAAAATTCCAGATTAATCATAAATATTTTCTGGAGACACTCTTGGGTGTTGGGGGAGGTTGGTGCTCTTGAATAACTGAGGATTTGCATCAGCTTGAAATGGAAGAAAAATGTTTGTTCTATTCTCTTCTCTGTTAATATTTACAAGGGCCTGTAGGGCCAGGCCAAGGGGAATGGCTTGAACCTGCCCGAGAGGAGACTGAGCTGAGCTCTTAGGCAGAAGCTCTTCCCTGTGAGGGTGCTGAGGCGCTGGCACAGGGTGCCCAGAGAAGCTGTGGCTGCCCCATCCCTGGCAGTGCTCAAGGCCAGGTTGGACACAGGGGCTTGGAGCAAGCTGCTCCAGTGGAAGGTTTAAGGTGGACCCAGATGGTCTTCAAGGTCCCCTTCAACCCAGCCAATGTGGTACTCATTGATTCTGTGAATTCATTCTGGGCTTCAGGGGCAGAAACAATGAACTTCTGTGGTTGTGATCTCGGAGGTGCTGACCGAGCATGGGTTACCTGTTAACCCATTACCCTTCTTGCAGAGACTTCATCTGTTATTGAAGGTTTAGGCATCCTGCTGTGTGTGCTGTGCTCCACTCTGGAGGGAGGAGGCTGCATCATCCCTTCTGGAGGTCAGGGCTTGTTTCCACTGGTCCAGACCATGCTTCTCAGGAGGCTTCTCCTCGGACAGAAAGGAGGCTCAATCACTGCATGGTGCAAGAGGGAATCTGAGTTTAACATCTGGGTTTAACACGGGTTAAAACAGGCCCATGAAGTGCTGTTACTGCAGGGCTGAGGTTTACCTGCATGCTCTGCAGCTCCCCTCTCCCTGCATCCCTTCTCTCTCCCTTGGGAGCCCCCAGGTCCTGGATGAGGATGGGGATAAGGATGGCCCAGGGGTTGCCTGTGGGATGGCACCCTCTCCCCACCTCATCACAGCCCTGTGGGATCAGAGGTACCATTCCTCTGCCAAGAATTAAAACATAATCGTGATGCTCTTTGTTTTCACAGAGGCATTTTCAATGTGGAGAGGTTTTTCTGGTGCTTTATCAGGGATGGAGTTTACAGTTGGAGTTACACAGAGAATACAAATGAGTTGCTAAGCATGGAAATGGTAGAAGATGAATCAGCCACAAATTGGTATTTTAGTACAAGAATTGCTTTTTGGTGAACCTGAGAATGACCTGGATTGAACAGTTTTGAAGGAACCAAACATTTTCGCATGCATTTACTAGTTCACTAACTTGATTCAATGTCAATTGATAGCCATAGCTTAAAAGTGAGGAATTGAGAGCAAGTTGCATAAGGGGAAAAAGAGTTCTTCAATGTAAAACATGGAAACCAAATCAATGGAGCTGATGAGCACGGCAGGAGCCCTGGAGCCCTGGTTACCTCGTTGTCATAACCAGCCTGTGGGGTCCTAGCACAGCCCCTGATGCTGCAGAAACCTTGTGGGGTGCTATGGGCTGGAGCTTTGCTCCTCATGGTTGCCTTCAGAGAGGTGATAACATGGAAACAGCATCCCTGGCCAGCTCCATCCTGTAGATAAGGAGCTTCCAGCCCCCAGGACCCGTGTGGTCAGACATGGGAACAGGCTATTGGGGCTGGGAGCCATGGAGCAGGGTCCAGCCTCTGACACAAGTGATGTGCTGAAGGGGGATGGAGGCTGCTGGCAGGAGCAGTAACGTCCAGAAATACCAGCAGCTATTTCTGGCAGCACTGGGGGGAGTCACACAAGGCAGGTAAGTGCGTGGGCTGCACACGGGGCGTGGGGCTCACTGAATGGGGTGATGGAGCAGGGGGTTAATTGGAAGATCCGGCTCTTGTTGTCCAGAGAACTGCAGATCTGGCCTTGGAACGTTCCCCAAGGTCTTGGCACTTCATGTCGTAGCTGTGTCTCATGCCCTGAATATTCCCAAGGCACTCGCTATCGTTGGATGTCGTCTGACTGTCTCTCGGTTGCTGTTTGTTTCTGTGGTGGCATGTTGATAAGGTATCTGGTTATGTCTTGCAGCCCTCAGAATCCAAGCCCAACGTCACCCCTCTCACCGTCCTGGCCCATGTTCTCTGCGCCATCAAGTCCTATGCCCACCTCCTCTACGTCCAGCGACTCATCCCCCATCAGGTCTGTTGCAGAATTCGCTTTGCTTTTTGTTGCTTTTGCTATTTTCTGTTTGATTTACTTGGTTCCCCTGCTTCACTTCCCTTCTCCCTTTGCATCCTGCTCAAACCTCCCCTGTGCAGCTCTCTGCACTAAGCAAGAGAGGAGCTTTCCAACATCTCCCACCCCAGGAGGGCCCCTCTGAGCCCCCAGCAGGCACCCACTGGCCCTGTGGGTGATGCTCAGTGTCAAGGGTGGTTTCTGTGGGTTTCCTCAGACATTTCAGGTCCTGTGGTTTGCTGTACTCCTCTCTGCACAGGTAAGACATGTAATGTGTAACCTTAGTGAAACGTGGTAATACCTCGTTTTCTGGCCACTTCCTTTTCTTATCTGGAATCTAAGGAAGGTAAAGAACACGTGAGCACACCACAGGCAGTGTTTGGGACCTGCACTGTGGGTACCAGGGATGCTTGTGGGGGAAGCCGGGGCAGCATCCCCTCTGCTCTGTGTGCAGGGTGGGATGGGATGTCTGTCCTCCGAGCCCATCCTGGCACAGAGGAGCACGAGGCGACGTGGTCCCCAGCAGAACGTGGCTCCCAGCCTTTAGCAGGCGCAGGCGGCTCCAATCCCTGCTCCTGGGGAGACGTGTCAGACCTGTTTGCTCATGACAGGCACAGACCAAGCTCTTCCCCCACACCCACAACACACAAACGCTGCCTGCCTGCCTGCCTGGGTTATTTATCTGTGCTCTGTGTGTCTGCAAAGGCTGACAGCAGTGTGATGCCACCGAGCAGCCTTCCTCTGGGGGAGAGGCTCATCATCCCCCAAACTGCACAGGGGCAGATGGGGGAAGTTCCTGAGTGCTTTGCTGGCCTTGTGCCATGCTTGGAGGCACAAACCTAATGTTAGCAATCGCTGGGGTCCAGCATTTCAGTCCCTGATGACTGCAGGGCTCATGGGGTCCAGTCACAGCCAAAGGGCAAGGGGCAGCCTCCAGGGGTGCTGGGCTGCAGAGATCATTTCTGGGGAGGAAAACAACAGCTTCAGTGACTCAAGGTCAGCCAGAAAATACCTTTTGTTTCCCACCTGGCAGTCGCCTCCAGCTCTGCACAAGTGGTGCCTCCTGGCACTGAAGGACCCTCTCTGGAGCAGGAGGAGTGTTTGCCCATCCTGGGTTTGAAGTGTTTGGCAGCTGCTCGTGTCAGGCAGCTGGAATCCGGAGAGGAGAGCCCTGTGCTTCGGGGCTGTCATCACAGCAGAACCAAACCCATTCACAGCCTCCCTGGGCTGTGGTTTCGATGAGAACTGCTTTTGCCAGGAGGTGAAAGTGTGACGCTTCCCTGGGCTCGCTCGGGGAGGATTCTGAATGTGCTCAAGTCCTTGGGAAGATAAAAACTGGTGAAAACACTGATAGGGGGAAGGGTGATGCCTTGTCCCTACCGCAGCAGCTCCGGGGCTCTTCCGTCACTTCCCTTGGCTGTGCCATAGCTGAGCTGTACCCTGCTGCAGAGCTGGATGCAGCCGCTGGGCTGATGGGCAGGCTCCCAGCATCGCCTGGTGCTGTCCCAGCTTTGCACCAGCCTTCCTGGTACCCAAACCCGGGAAGGATGGGTGGGAGGCTCCAGCAGCAGGGGACCCCTCCGCGTGCCTGCGCTTTGCTGCCGGGTCCTGAGGTCCTTCATCTTCTCTGTGTGTCTGCCAGCGATCTGCTCCATTTCTGGCTCTCCCTGCTCTCATTCTCTCCTCCGCAGCGTGGGCATGCTGACACTTCCCCACTAAAATCTAATGGATCTTAAATCTTTTTTATCTTCAGGTACGGTCTCTAAGGAAGCACCACAGATCCTTCCCAGGCCTCCTTGCTTTTCTGTCTCGAAATACACTTCCCCAGGGCTGATTCTTCCTTTCGAAACCCTCGTTGTGGCTGCAGCTGCACTGGCAGTGATGGCTTTGGCAGCCAGCGGGGCTGGTGGGCTCCTGCTGCCGCCTTTGCTCCATGCTGGCCTGCGGGCTGGGTATGACCCTTTAGAGACTTCCAGAACCTTCCCAGCTCTTGGGAAGCCCCTTGAGCCAGCCTCAGGGCTCCTGGTTCTGTGGGCAGCAGAGCTGGGCTGTGCTCCAGCTCAGATCACACTGGTGTTTGCAGTGCAGTGAAACAGGGTGCTGGGGGCTCATCCCCGAGAGCCTTCAGCCTCCTCTGGTGTCTTCTTCCCTCTTCCCCCGAGCAGTGTGACCGTGGACCCTCGCAGAGCAGTAGAGATCCTTGGAGCCCTCTTCAACACGCGCCTCCATTGCAGCGGGGAGGGGATGCTGTTGCCTGCGAGCAGTGGGGTTGGTACCAACGTGTTCTCTCTTTGCAGCTCGCCGCTGCGGAAGGCCCGAGCTCTGTACGCCTGCAAAGCAGAACACGACTCCGAGCTCTCCTTCACGGCGGGCACCGTGTTTGACAACGGTGAGTCCCTGACCCGGGTACCTGTGGGGGCGAGGGGAGATGGGCTCCTTCCTCAGGCTGCAGTTCCCAGTGTTGGGAAAGCAGGATCACAAGAGCTGTGCCCGGTGCTGTAGGAGCCAGGCTTGCTCCGTGCCTAGTGCTGGGCTTCCCCAGGGCAGGAAGATCTCATTCCATGTAACGTTCATGGGAGATGCTACAGGGCCAGTAAAACAGCAGAACAAATGAAGCTACAGAGCAGGACACTTGCTGTTACCTATTTTAGCACAAAGTTTTGCAAGTTAATGGAGGTTTTCTTCCTATGACCCAGGGAAGGATTTGGGCTCTCAGTTCATGGGCTTCCTTTCAGTCCCCTATTTAAGGACTATTCTGTTTCCATCTCTAGAAATGCTGTGAAAGAAGAAAGCAGAAATACTTGAAACCCAATTAAATCTGAGCTGTTTCTGGCTTTACTGAAAACAGCTGATCATCCAGGAGGCTTTAGGATCTGTGTGAAAACTGCCTTTTCAAGAATCTGGTTTATTATCTAAGGGAAATAAATCCTAAAGGAAACATCTGAAATAGGAGGGATGAGTAGGTGAGATTCTCCTCTCCCCCAGAGTGGAGCACAGGGGATCACTATGGCAGAGATATCACCTCCAGCCTGGGTCAGTGGGTCCTGCTCCATGTCCCACTCATCACCCTGCCTGTGCCAATGGTGTCGGGGCTGCTGCCCAATGCTCCTCGTGTCTGTTCTGGGTTGTGACCACTCATCCCACCAAGATCCAGACCCTGGATCTAAATGTGATGGGGAACTGGTGAGCATTGACTGACACCAGTGTTTGCCATGTACAGAGCCATTCCCCAGTCTTCTGGGTAGGGGAGATTAGTTTCCAAGTATCAGCACCAGAAATGCTCTATGCAGTTGCCATAATGTTCCATGCAGGAGAGAGATAGAAAAGTAGCGTTTTTTAACTCTGGATCCTGGGAGCTGGAATAGATGGGCTCTGGTTAGTCAGCTTTCTGGAGACGATGTTAATGAACACAGACTGTTTCCTGCATCAAGGGAAAGAGCCTGCGCCCCGTGGAATGAAGCAGCTCTGGTTTAGATATAATCCCAATGTAAAGAAAAGACTTTTTACTACTTTCCAAACAGTTCTTGGCTTTTATATGTTAAGCATTGTCATTTGGGAAACTGCTACCACATGCACTGGTTTTGCCCTGGGATATATGTAAGAATATAGCAGAGAGGGGTAGAGAACAAGTACATGTGAATTAAAGAATATCCTTATTCTAAGCAGCTTCATAGATATCTTATAAATAAACATGTTCTCCCCTTGGAGAGCCCATGGGAATTGAAGCTGCTAGAAGGGGAACAAGTTTGAATTAAATACATTGTGTTTGCTATATAAAAATCAATGGATTATTCAGGGGCAAAGCCATACAGCATGTTCTCATCACTTAGCAGCCCAGCTGAGGCTCACGTTAGCTGTGGAAGCTGTTGGGAACAGCACTGCTCGGTGGAAGTGTTGTTATGATGGAGGGCTTTATAAAACCCGGTGAAAGCAAATGGATCTTGGGAATACTTAGAGCCAGGTTCTGGTTTGACTTGAAACTGAGGGTGCACATGGATGAGCAGCATCTCGGTCTGATGGGGACATTGGGGTGCTGCTGCCTGCACCGAGTGACAGCCGCAGAGTAACCAGCACCGTGTTCTGAGGGGTCCATTTGAGCTCCAGAGCACCGGTCCTTCCAGCTACAGGAAACTGGGTTTTTCCAGCAGATCTTTACACTGAATGGGAGGGATGTCCTGGGTCTGTGGAGGCCTGAAACTGGGGAAAGTGGGAGTCACGGGCAGGACAGGGATGCTCGCGTGTGGTTTTAACACACAATCACCCCTGAAATGGAAAACTCAGTCTTCTGAAGCCGTGAGCCCCCCACCTGAGCTGGTGCTGACAGGCACTGGGGTTTTGTGCTACATGAGGAAAGTTGTGCTGCATCTGTGCTCTAATTCAGTAACCAAGAACGAGATTCCCCCATCTGCCCATGTGCTCTGCTCTGTGTGACAGCACCTGCCCACAGATGAATGTCTGTCTTTGGGACACAAGTGATTTTCTAAGGCAGAGGCAGTAGCTGGAACTCATGTGACTTTTGGTTAAAGCACTTTCCCAGCCCATTTACTGAGACCAGAGGGCTGGAGGCACAGACGCGCACACCACTTACCGCCACTCTCGGCTGGCAGGGGCACTCTGAAGCCTCATCTCCAAAAGGGATGTAAACCAGTAAATGTTAATGCAGTTTTGCCCTTGGGAGCTTTCTTTGCAGCCTGGAGGTGGTCTTTGTCCTCTGAGAGGACTGCTTTAGCCCTTGGTGGTGGAAGAGCCCCAAGACTTGGGGTGTAAGTGTGCAAAAAGAAGTGGCACAAGGGAAACCCCAAAATGTGTAAAGCAGTGGATGGGGCTAGGAGCAAGCTGCTCTAGTGGAAGGTGTCCCTGCCCGTGGCAGGGCTTGGGACTGGAGGAGCTTTAAGGTCCCTTCCAACGCAGACCACTCTGATTCCATGATTTTGTGGTCTGTATTTGTCATTAATAGATCACTATGTACTGTATTCCTCTGCCCACGTTCTCTGTAGTGATGGACTGAGGAATTGGCATAACTGGTTCCTGTAAAACCAGCAGATTTTCAGCAGTTGGTTGGATAAAGGAGGAGTTTGAGGCATCTGAGGACTGACCACATTCTTCATTTCACAGAAATAAGGTTGCTCTCCTACCGGGAGCATTTCCTAATGCATTCCCTCCCTCAGCCTGGTCCAGGCGGGGATGTGCAGGGTTACACTGTGATGGAGTTAACCACCACCTCTCAAACTCCAAAGACATTTTAGCCCAAATCTGGAGGAAGTTTTGAGCCCCTGTTTTTATCACTGGTGCTTCACGTACATCAGCCCAGCACCAGTATTTGGAATCCCAGTACATAGCCCCATGTGCAGCTCACTTGGTTCTTCTGTTTGTTTCACTGTTGGGTCTCTGACACTTTATAAAGGACAGGCAGAGGATGCCTAGGGTGAGCACTTCAGCTTCCTGAGCATCTTAGCATATTTGTTTTCTTACTTTAAGCCAAACACAAATTAAAGGTCTTGTTCCCTCCCAGAAGCAATTGTGGGATGCAAGCTGATGTCAGCACACAGAGAGCAACAACCCCTATGCCGTAACCCCTGTAGTAACCTGCCTTTTCCTTCTCTCCTCCAGTTCACCCATCACAGGAGCCTGGCTGGCTGGAAGGGACCCTCAATGGCAAGACAGGATTAATCCCTGAGAATTACGTGGAGTTCCTATAACTTGGGGCGCAGGAAGTGCCTCCGCTGAGCTTTCCATGGTATCCATGGCAGTTGCTGGTGGGACCAGGGGGAGGGCTTCCCCATCCCCACTGAGATGAATGTTTGTGGATAGAACCGTGCTCCTCTCCCCGTGTGTGCTGGGGCTGTGGAAGGAGCAGTCCTGGGGATGTGGCTCTACTCCTGCAGCTCCAATCCGAGGTAGTGATGCCCAAAGCCCACATCCCAGCGTGGAGCCATCGCAGCAATGAGCAAACCAGCAAAGCGGCAGCTCCACACCACAGCCTGCGTGCCGCAGAGGTGCCAAGCCTGCCAAGTGTGAACCAGCACGAGAGACCTGTGCTCCCTGTGGTGACACTGCTTGCCACCTGTAAAGAAGGGAGCAGAAGGACCCCAGCTCATCATCCTCCCCGCCAGAGGAAGAGCGGTCAGCAGTGAGGAAGCCCTTTGCTGCCAGTCTTTTTTCCCTGCTTTCCAGCCAGCTCCATGCAGATGGGGAGCACCCCAGCCCCTTCTCCCGTGTCCAGGGAAGGGCTGGAGCAGCTTCAGCTGATGCCTGCAGCAGCGGCAGTGGCAGGAGGCTGCTGGTCCTGCACTGTGCTGCCGCAGCAGAGCTCCGCTCTTGCAGGCGAGAGCGGTCCTGCCCTGGGCTCTGCAGCGCCGGCACCGTGAATATTTGGGACCAAACCTCTCAAACTGTGTCCTTTTTTAAAGCCTGAACTTCCTGCGAGGCAGTGTCTGTGATCTGAGGCAAACAGCCCGCGTTTCCTTCCTGGAGGGCAAGATGCAGCTCCAGATAAATGCCACTCCTGTTGACGGGCTGGTTTGTGTCTCCGTTTCCGATGCATTTGCATAGACACATCCATGCTTTTGTGAGCGCCCAGGCTGCTGATTTAGTGCCACTGGGAGCTGTGTTTGCCACTCTCCACCCGTTGCTTTTTAGGTGGTCTTGTGCTCGCAGCTCCATGCGTGTAGTCTGTCCGTGCCAAGTCTGTGCAGTACCGGTGTGCAAGGTAAATTATTCCCATGCTCATAGGACATTTGGTGGTGGTGTGTCCAGAAAACAGAACACAAAGGACAGGGCCTTCACCACCGCTCCGTTCCTGCCCGGGAAAGGATGCTCCTGTCTCCATGGACATGCAGAGTGGGTTTGAAATCTCCCACTGTTCCAGGGCGCTTTTAAAGGAGAGGGTGGGAGAAGGAGCCCAGCGTGACTGCAGGTGGCACGTTGGGAGCTGGAATGGTTTTATTTTGTGATAGAGAATGGTGGCAGAACCCCCGGAGTCCTGGGCAGCAGTGGTGCTGGGGGATGGATGCTGTGTCTTTTGTAATGGTTTTACAGACTGAGTGACTGAATTGCTGTACGTGTCACTTTTTATTTTTGAAAGAATTATTGTATAAACAGAGTATCTTAAAATATTGTGAGGGAAAGATCTATATTTGATATTTTTAGAACACCTGTAATGAGAGAAGCAAAGGACACTTGAAACCAGTTCCAGAGAAACGCTTGCAAACACATCCACAGCCACCCTCAGACCCTGGGCTGCCTTCTTGTCCGCTTTGTGGTGTCACCTAGAATTGAGGAACCCGAAGCCTCAGACCTCTTCATGTTCTTTGCAGTGATTAAACCCCTGGGACTTCTGTCCTGGGGAAAAAACAGAGGAAAAAGTTGATCTTCTTCTCCTGATTTCCAGGGCGGGCGCAGCACAGCTCGTCTCCTCGGGGCTGTACCCTCGCTGTAAGTGATGCACTGGGCACGTCGCCCTGCTGCTGACGGCTGCACAGGGGAGAAGCCTCCAAACTGTCCCGTGTTTTCTGCTGTGAGGCAGTGGATGAAGAAAGCCGAGAGATTTGTAGGGATCAAAGCCAGTGTTTCACTGTCCTTCTTTGTCTTTGGGTTCAGTAGTGAACACTTGTACCACTTGTTGATGCTCGTGGAGCAGAGGACCAGGCTGGGCTTAATCCAGCCCCAGAAGTCACTGAGACCTCGGGGGCTGCTCAGAGCTGGCTCTGACTCCTGCACTGTCTAGACTCGGTAGTACAGGTACCCCTGTCTAGGGGTGTAGGGGAGGGATGGGAAGGGCTGATGGAAAGGAGGTGGAGAAAAGAAGGGCTTAATATTTCATCTGTCAGCAGTATTTGCTTGTGTTCAAGATTGTCCTGTCCTGAGCTGCTCCCCCGCCATAGAATCATGGAATGGTTTGAGTTGGAAAGGACCAGCCTGGCCTTGAGCACTGCCAGGGATGGGGCAGCCACAGCTTCTCTGGGCACCCTGTGCCAGCGCCTCAGCACCCTCACAGGGAAGAGCTGCTGCCTAAGAGCTCAGCTCAGTCTCCCCTCGGGCAGGTTAAAGCCATTCCCCTTGGCCTATCCCTATATGCCCTTATGAAAAGTCCCTCTCCAGCTTTCCTGTAGCCCCTTTAAGCACTGGAGCCACTCTGAGGTCTCCCGGGAGCCTTCTGTTCTCCAGGCTGAACAAGTTCAGGCTGCTGCTGGAGCCAGTGTCTTCCCAGCACAGCCTCCTGTCTCCAATGGGACTCTCAGCCTTTGAGCAGGAAGTGTTCTATGTGCAAATGAGAATCTCAGACACATCAGAACTGTGGTGGTTGGGGACCTCTTCCTAAGGCTGCAGGAGCAGCACAGGCTGCCCTGCCCCAGCCGGCTGCTGCCAGTCCTTATCCTCACAAAGCCTCTCTGTGCACTGTCCCCCTTTCCCTCTTCAGATACTCAAATTGTTCTGGGATAAGAGTAAATTCCTTTTCCTATGCTCTTAGGAGCATCTGGATGTGCTGCCTAGAGAGTTATTGGGAACAGAAGTCCCACGCAAGCGTATTTACAAGATGTCCTGTGGAGGGAGGGAAGCAAAGCAGCAGCAGCAGTTACTGCTCTTGCAGGGGAGCAACCAGAATATTCTTTTTTAATTAAAACTTCCCAAAAGCAGGGTTTGTCTGAAGCTCTGAGTGAACGCTCCCTCCGTGGGGGAGTTTAATAATGGAGCAAACAGTGGTTTATTCTGAGAGAAATTAGAGAGAGAAAATATTGTTTTAAACCCGCTTGACGTGACATTTGGTGCTGAATATTAAAGTCATCAGTCAGTACTAGGAGCAAGCAGGGTGTTCAGACGTGCTGGTAGGTGAAGCCTGACCTGTACTCCCTGCCTAGCAGTTTAGGCAGTATAGCAGAAAAGAAGGCACTGCAATAGTATCTGTTCAAACACAACTCTTGGGTACGGTCCTGCCATGGTTCAAGTTGATGGGGTGAGTCCCATCAGTTGGCTGTGGCCAGGCCACTGTCACCAGCCTTAGTCCCCGTGTCCTGGTGGCCACTGACAAGCATGGCTTTTCTGAGGTCCCCACGGGCCCTTGCCTCTTCAATGGATTTGGGGGGCTTTACAGCAGGGAGTGAAGCCTCTCGGATGGCTTGGGAGCACCCAGGCTGCTGCTAGCGCTCCCATCGCACCTCCCAGTGCCCTGCTGGGGCTTGGATTGGGGTTGGGTTGGGTTGGAGTTGGGTTGGGATGGGCATTGGCTTGTGTTGGGGTTGGGTTGGAGTTGGGTTGGGATGGGCATTGGCTTGTATTGGGGTTGGGTTGGAGCTGGATGCTTTCTTTGAGCAGGGTATTGCTCAATAAGAGCAACCATTTCAGACCATGGCCGTGACTTTTCACATTCCTGCCTGGCTCTGCAGTCAGACAAAACATCCTCCTGGTCAGTGCCTGTCCCAGCACGGGGTTCAGTGGCCTGAAGAGCAGCCCAGACCATCACAGCTCATCACAGCCAGGCTCTGTTACTGCTGTAACATGGGGGTATTGGGTGCTCTGTCCTCTGCACCTCAACCTGCAGGTGGGCTCCTGCTGGTCCCTGCACCTTGGGGAGCACGGAGCTCTCTAACCCTGGCACAGAAGATTGTGATACTGATTTCAGGGTAAGCTGCAGACGGAGCACTGGAATGTGCCCTCCACAAGGGTATCGCTTCTTTTACTGCTGACACCTTAAAAGTGGGTGGTGGTGAGGGATGGGAGCAGGATGCTCACCAGAGCCTTGTAACCCCAGCACATCCGGGTGCTGCAGTACCCAGTTGATGGCTCTGTTTAAGTGCTGGAGAGGAGTTACTCTGATTTATCCTGGAGATTTCACAGCACAAATCCAAACAGCTTCACGGAGCGTTTGTGTAAGTCCCTGAGGTGCCTCCCAGAGCCTTTCCTTCATTTCTGGCCACTGTCTGCACTGGGGCTGGAGGTGATGCTCGGGCACAAGGAGCTGCATCCCCTCAGTTCTTTTAGGTGTCTTTACAGAAGGATCTCAGTTGGGGTCAGGACTCTGCTCCGCCAGCCTGCACCCTGGAGAAGCAGGGATATCCTGGGAGCTGCTCAATGGGGAAGGGTGGGATCCGGTCCATGGGCTCCTCACAGCCAGCCAGGACATCGCCCTGCTCCCTGGAGACCTGCGGCCACGGCTCAAGGCTTGAGGGCAAGGAAGAGAGTGAGCCCCACATCCATGGGAGGCACAGTGTGAGGTGAGGCGCAGGTAAGGGCTCAAGGCTCGGGGGAGACCTCAGAGCAGCTCCAGTGCCTAAAGGGGCTCCAGGAAAGCTGGAGAGGGGTTTGGGACAAGGGCCTGTAGGGACAGGCCAAGGGGAATGGCTTGAACCTGCCTGAGGGGAGATGGAGGTCAATGCAGGGGCTGCATGGGCAGCTGAGCAGCACCCACCAGATCCATCAGGTCCGTGCAGCTTTGGTTGAAGTCAATGGGTCTGTAGCTGAGGAACATCACCTGCACAAAAAGAGCCCAGCGCTGAAGGGACCTGTTCTGCTTCACAAGTGCATTTAATTCTTCTAACAAAGCAACCCCAGTTCATACATTCGGGCTCTCACATCTTCAGCTTCAGGGGGCTGAAGATGAAAAGGTGCTGGGTTTTTAAGAAACAGCCGTTTAAAGTTCCAGTCTCTGGGTGAGGAGCTGATTATTTGAAGACAAGCACAGCAAAGCAGCTTGTAATTTAGCACAGCCGTTTGACGGCTCACGAGGTAGCACCTACCTATTACTGATTAGAAACCCTCCCTCCTGTTAATGAAGCTTATTCTTGCCTCTAAACCTCAGACAAAGGGCTCTAGAAAATCACACCTGGGCTCTAAAACTCACTGACGCACTCAGGAAGGGGGGAACTGAAACCCCAGCCCCCTGGAAACCTGCCTTGGGGCTCAGGTGAGATGGGGGAGGCAGGAAGAGGGGCTGGGTGGGGGGGAGATGGTGGAGCTAAACAAACCCGTGTCCAGAGCAGGGTTCTGGTGTCCCTGGCCCCCTCACCCTGGGGTCCTGAGAGCATCCTGCTCCCGCTGCCCCTTCCCT